TCTCCCACATCTTCGAAGCCGGCGCTTGGCGTCCGGAACCTAACCTCCCACTCCGGAGGGGGGGGGGGGAGAGTCACCATGCCGCACTGAAATTATTTCAACCCAAATCTACCTTCTGAGGAATGTCCGTGAGCCATGCCAGTGACCCCCGAAATGGGGGCGGCGAGTCTAGGGATACCACGCACATGAACATCGATTGTCGTCAAGGTTCCGTGAAACCCACCTGTACCTCTGGTTCACCTCTCTGCAGTCTCGCCGCTTGCCAGGCGCTTTCTTTTTCACCGCTGTCTGCTTCTTTATGTCTTGACTCCAGACAAAAACCTGCTTCTGCTCTACGAACAACCACATCAATACCACCAAAACAAATGCCTCGCAACACCCCCCTACCGTCTCTCACAAGCACAAACCTCCGCATACGTGAAATAGCTCCGCGGGCGTAAAACTCCGCCAAACACAACACATACCTAGCTCAGCGGGAATAATCCGCCATACACAACACACTCAGCTGAACGGGCCTAGAACTCCGCCAAACATACGCACGCATGCGTTCTTAACCCTCCCCAAAACACCGCGTTTACCCGCGTGATGTCCACGCAACACTCACCCCTCTGAAGTTCCACCGCTGGGCAACAAGCTGCCCAGGGGGAGCACCCCCGCCGCCCCCTCCCCCCGGCCCGCCCGCCCTCCCGCCTCTACCAGCGACGGCCGCCGCCGCCGCCGCTCTCTCCTGGTTCCTCGCCAGAGCGCGCTGCCGGTGCCGCATCACGCTTCCGTGGGAGCTTTCCGCCTATTTTTTTTTTCTTTCCGCCCACGGACCCGCCCCAGGGGGGGGGGGGGGGGGGTGTACTCATAGTCGTGCATGCCGTAGTCGTTTGACCATTGACCTCGCATCCCTACAAAGCCGGGACGGAGCACGCCGGGTTCTCACCGGACCAGGCTCTCACATCACCAAGCGCGAAGCACCGTGAGGTATTTGGCGAGTCGCATGAAGGGTGAGCTGCATCCTGCTAAGGGTGTTCGGCATCTTGTGCTTACTTCCTTGCGTACGGATGACAGCTACGTATGACATAATTTATTGTCTGGTGCTTTCACTTCCAGAGCCAGTTGTAAGCACTGTGTAACTGCCTCGAGGGTGCTTGACCAATATTAACACAACGTGGTGCGATCATCCCCCGTTGCGCGGAGTGAGGGTTCTCCACCCCGCACAACATGATCTACTCGACCACCATTATGGTTACCGCCAAAAAAAAAAAAACCGAGGTAAAAAAAAAAACCGGTAACCTGGTTGCCGAGTTCACGAAGTGAATTGGCTTGGTTTACAACGTCGTTGCCAAGCGACGAAAACCCAATCCCATGGCAAACACCGAGCGGGGGGCTTGTTTTACAACGTCGTTGCCAAGCGACGAAAACCCAATCCCGATGGCAAATACCGAGCGGGGGGCTTGTTTTACAACGTCGTTGCCAAGCGACGAAAACCCAACCCCGATGGCAAACACGCGGGGGGGGGGGAGAGAGGGCATGTGTGGACGAAAACGTGGGGGATGCGTGCCTATATTAACGGCATCGACGCGCTGGCTGGTTAATACGGAGTTTAATGCAGCACCAAATAAACAAACATAAACAAACACACACACACACGGGGTCCCAGTTCATGGCATTTAGAAGTGTTTTGTGTTTTCAACCGCACTAAGACTGACGTCTTTTCATTGGTCCGCCGGTTAGCGCGGTCGGTGCTAATAATAAAAAACACACACACACACACACACACACACACGCCTTCTTCGTTTGCTACTGTTTCTGTATTTAATCCGGAGAACAGCTTGTGTATCCCCCCCTCACGGGGTCCCAGATCATGGTAGCGTCATCTTCTGTCTTCAGCCGCACTTGAGGCTGACGCCTTTTCATTGGTCAGCCGGCGAAATAGCACAGAGGTCAATGCTACAGCAGTAGATCAAAGAAACAATCACACGCGGTCGATGCTAATCATAAAAAGATACACACGCAGACAACACACGCCCTGAAATCTCTGAAGGGGCACCACGGCCATCATGGTTTAGCCATTGGAACCAATCCCTGTCTTCAACCGAACTGACGCCTTTTCATTGGTCAGCCGGTGCTACATAGCGCGGCCGATGCTAACAACAAGAACACACGCGCAGACACCACACACCTGAAGGCTCTGCAGGAGCTCCAGAACGGTCGCCAGCACCCGCGAGGCCGCCTCCGGGGGCAGCGAAGCCAGCCGGGGGTCCCGCCACAGCGGCTCCAACACCTCCCCCGCCAGGAGGTGCACCCGACGGATGAACAGATCCGACGAGAAGCGGGGAGGCGGGGCGTTGGTCTTGGCCTTGCCGCCATCCTGCTGCTTCCGTGTCCGTGAGAAGAATTGTTGTGGCGCGCGAGAGGGGGAGCAGTGGCGGTGTTTGTGGGCGGGCGCTGAGGGAATTGAAAGGATGAAAGCGGACCGGCCGGAAAGAGCATGGTAAAACGTCAAGGTTCGGCGCCCCTTTCTGCGAGCGGACGGTGTGTAACGCCGGCTAGGTATCCTCTCCCCGACCTTTGACGCGTATCAACCCCCGCCCCCCACCCCCACCCCCCCCAGGATGCAGCGTACCCTCCATGCGACCCGCCGAATACCTCACGGCGCTTCGTGCTCGGTGAAACGTCAGCCAGCCTGGTCCGGCGAATACCCGGCATTTCGCTCTGTCCCGGCATTGTAGGGATGCGAGGTCAATGGTCTAACGACTACGGCAAGCACGGCTATGAGTACATCCCCCCCCGTCCCCCCCGCCCGCTTCTCTATGTAAACCGTCTCTCAACGTCGGTGCGCGTGTTCTTAGTCACAGCAGATGACCCGATATATAGTGGTATGTAGGGCAAGAGGAGAAACATGCCACTATTCAGGGTAGTGCCACTATTCAGCACACCGGTTCATGTGTATGTTGAGATTGTGAGAAGGGATATTGATGCAACCACGGCAGTATATCGGCAGTTCCACCTATTCAAGTGGGCACTATATCGGGCCATCTGCTGTACTGCTTTCACTGCCCCTATCCTTCTCTCTCCGCCCCAACGCCAGCTACCTCACTGGGCTTGTCAGCCACTTCCCCCCTGGTCCACCCGGCGCCCGCGAGATCTTGGCGGGATCGCGATCCGCAGTAGGCATGAATGGTTGTTCCATCAATTCCACTTTTCTGCTGGACGTGTGCAAAGGACATCTAACAGGACGGAATCGTAGAACCCGACAAACCAGCACACCACTTGGGAGCAGAAACCATCGCGGGAAATATGGGAGAGAAGGAATGGCCAACCACAATCAACGTCGTCTGCTCCCACGACATTGGTCGTGGTTGGCCATTCCTCCTCTTCCATTTTTCCTACGACTTTTGCAAAGGACATGTAACAGGAAGGAATCGTAGAATCCGACAAACCAGCACACCACTTGGGAGCAGAAACCATCGCGGGAAAAATGGAAGAGAAGGAATGGCCAACAACAATCAATGTCGTCTGCTTTGCAAAAGTCGTTGGAAAAAAGGAAGAGAAGAGACGGAAAACTACGATCAATGTCGTCTGCTCCCAAGTGATGTGCTGGTCTATCGGATTTTACGATTCCGTCCCCTTCGCTGTCCTTTGCAAACGTCCGGCGGAAGGCTCGCACTTGTCTTTTGCGGCTTGTTGCAAGTGTGACCTGTTCGCAAGACGTCAACAACACTTTCCACCGTTCTCACACCCCGACTCAGTGTCACGGTTTCTGCTGGACCGCTGCATAGATATCTAATATTATTACCATGGAATCACAGAAACCGATATTACAGCAACACATGACTTTGGTGCAGACGCCGCTGAGTATGGCTTTCCATCTCGTCTCTTCCTTCTTCCACCGCTTGTTGCGGGACAACCGTGGTGGGAGACGGAAGCACCGATATGGAAAACCACAATCAATGTCGTCTGCATCAAATTGGTGTGTTGGTATAATATCGATTTTCCATGATTCCGTGCCACTAGATAACCATGTAGAACGTCCAGCAGGGAGCGTGAATTCCTGCAAGTGTGAGAGCTGTTCGCAAGACTCCAACATCATGCTTGCCTCTTTTTTGTGCTGCTCACACGAGGCCACCACAAGATAGCATAATACGTGTACATCATATTACACCCCGTTCTTGCTTGTGCAATGATTCGATGCCGTGAGAGGTATGGGACAGCCTGCCTTACCAACGACCGCTGCGTCTATCTAAAAGCTGAAACAGAGCTAGAACGATACAACCACGCGTACTGCCACGCAAAAACTTTCTTAATCCCGAGACCCTGACGCACCTTCGACGACTGACTTCTGCCTGCCGCAGGCGTAGAATCAGCAGCAGCAGCAGCGGCGGCCCCGCTACCGCCTCTCGCTCCCGCCGCTCGCGAAGGCGCGTCGGGGGTCGACGGCGGCTCAACAGCCATCGGCGTTGCCACGGCCATCGGGGTCGGAGTCCCCGGCGCCTGTGGTTGCGGCGGCGACATCGTGCCGCTCCCCCCGGCGGTGGTATCAGCGGCCGCCGCCGCCGCCGCCGCCGCTGCTGCTGCTGCGCCTCCGGCCGCCGGTGGGCTACCGTCATCGTCGTCGTCGTTATCGTCGCCGTCTCCGCCACCGCCGTCGTCGTTCCGCTCGGGGTCGATCTCGCCCTTTTCTTCCTCCAC